TGCTAACCAATCAAGTGCTCTCCTCACCTCCCCAAAGTGCCAAGGCCTGGAAATCACTGCCCCCTTTCTAGACAGTGGCCCGTGCAGCTGGGCAGGACCCTGAGGCTGTGATTCATAACTCTCAGGAAAAGGTGTGTCGGGGTTTTCTGGCCCAAAGTGAAAGTGTGAAGTGAAAGAGGCCAGGCCCCTGTAGTTGCCCACCCCCAACCCCTGCTGGGTAGAGTTCCCCAGGAGCTGGAAGTGGGGAGAGGGACCCTCTCCCTGAGGTCACTGCATTTGCAGTGGGAAGCTGAAATTTGATGCCACCAGCTTCTGTGTTTTTTGCGTCTGCCAGGGATGGAACCCGGGGCCTCTTGCATACTAAGCCACTCCCCCTGTAGCCAAATTGTTTTTATCCCTGACTGGGGTGGGGAGGCCTGGGAGCTAGTCCTTGTCCTGCCACTGAGTGACTTTGGGCAGTCACTTCTCTCCTCTGGCCCTTTCTCATATTCAGAGCAGGTGGGTTGATGGGTCATTCCTCCAGGAAACTCAGCATGTTGGATTTCAGTGTCATAGGTTTTGAAACCAGAGCAGCCTAGATTCAAATTCAGCTCTGCAACTTATGGGCTGTGTGACCTTTTGCAAGTTATTGCCTTCTCTGAGCTTCCATTTCATTCATCTGTAAACTGGGAGAAATACTACCCGTGTCATGTGGTCAAGCATATTAACGTTAGACATTTACTAAACCATGGCAGTGGGCCACACTTTTCTTCTCCTGATGGCCTCTTGGTGGCCCTTCCTTGATTATAGGTGCAACAAATTTTTCTGGAGGTTTAGATTGTAGGCTGTGTTCTTTTGTCCAAATTCCCATCTATTTTGATATCTTTTTCTATATTAAAAGCCACATCCTCAGGCTGAGCTTAATGGTAGAGTGCTTGCCTAGTTTGCATGAGGCCTTGGGTTTGATCCACAGAACCACCAAAAAAAAAAAAGCCTTCTCCTTCAGGAAGGCTTCTCTGATCTCCCCTCCAGTTGGATGAAACTCTGGGTCTGACTGCATGGACCACTGTCCACATGTATTATTTGCATCCTCTAGGCATCTTGCATCCTGGCTGTGAGCTTCCAATTTTGAGAGAAGAATCTTTGTCTGCAAGTGAAGGCCCCTTGCACAATGCTGGGCCCTCGGTGAGTCCTTTGGAATGGGACCAGAGCTGAGCCAAGCAGCCCCATGATGATAGAACTCTGTGTGGCAGACTGAGTCCTTGTCCTGGTTCCCACTAAGCCTTACTGCCCCTCTCACCAAAGTGCTTCTGGCTGGAGGTCAAACTTGCTGAAAGACGTGGGCACCCAGCAGAGCTCTAGAGAAGGATGTGAACTTGAAGGTTGGTAACTGTCTAGGCTCACCCCTTTTTTTTTCTGTACTGGGATTTGTACTCAGGACTTTGTGCTTGTAAAGCAGGCGCTCTACCACTTGAGCTACACCTCCTGTCCATTTTGCTCTGGTTATTTTGGAGATGGGGGTGGGGGTCTCTTGAACCAGGCTGGCCTCAAACCTCAATCCTCATGATTTCAACCTCCCATGTAGCTAGGATTCCAGGGTGCGAGCTACGGCGTGGGCATAGGCATGACCACCAGGCCATTCACTCCTCAAATGCATCTGGCAGGGAGGTGGGAAGGCACTGTGGGGAGGGAACTTAAAAGCTGTCCCCTGCTGGAAGGCCCAGAAACTCTCCCAGGTGAGAGACAGGGTCCTCCTGGGGACCCTGGCACCTGAGCTGGCAGGAAGCCTGGCATGAAACAATCACTTACACTTCAAAATTGCTTTGGTTGAGTGAATGAATGGACAAATGCCTAGTAGGAAACACAAACAGACTTCAGATCTCCATTTTTATTTTTATTTTTTTGAGATAGGGTTTCACTATGTAGCCCAGGCTGGCCTCAAACTTGTGATCCTCCTGCCTCTACCTCCTGAAAAGCTGAGATTACAGTGTGTACCACCATGCCCAGCTGACTGCTCTAATTCTTAATGTAACCTCCTTTTGCCCTCTTAGGAGAGAAGTTGTAATTGATAGAATTGGAGCAGAGCTTCATTAGTAAGGTCTGCTCTGTAATTCCTTTCACAAGTGTCTATTGGTTATCAAAGAAGCTTAGTCCCTAGCAGCCTGCCTGGGGGTGACACAATCCAAGCCGGTGTCTGCTCACCCCCCATTACTGCCCCTCCCCCCAGGCTTTGATGGGGTCACCACTGCCATTTGAACTCCTTCCTTCTCTTTGGACCTTCGATTTCAGAATGGAACATCACTGGGCTCAAAGCTCAGCTCTGCCATGGACAGGCTGTGTGACCTGGGGCAAATAACTCAGACTCTCTGAGCTTCAGTGCTTTCATCTGTGAATGGAGAAATCAACCACCTGCATTCTGGATGTGCTAATTTTAAAAAGTATTAAAAGTAATTGAGCAGCCAGGCACTGGTGGTTCACGCCTATAATCCTAGCTACTCAGCAGGCAGAGATCAGAAGGATCATAGTTCAAAGCCAGCTGGTGCAAATAGTTCTTGAGACCCTATCTCAAAAACAAAAACAAAAACAAACTAAACAAACAAAATCCCAAAAAAAAAAAAAATGGCTGGTGGAGTGGCTCAAGTGGTAAAGAGCTTGAGGCCCTGAGTTAAACCCCAGTTGCTGCCAAAAAAAAAAAGATGCAAAAACCCACAGCAAACAGCAGCCCGACCTTATGTTATGACAAGCCACACTGGAAAGGGACAGGTCAAGTGCATAGTACTGCCCTGACCATGGGCACAATCATGGTTGTTATTCCTGGGGGGAAAATAAATCCCCTTTCTCTCTCTTTCTCTCCTTCTTGCCGTCTTGCTCCTCATGACCCCACTGCTACCATCCCTGGCCTGACTTTCCTGCCCTGAGTCTTTACTAGTCAGCCCTCTGGGCTTTGCGCCCTCAGGCAACGCCACTCACTTGCTCAGCTCTTTTCCTCATCTGTGACTTGGAATAACAAATGGTACCTGTCTCACGGGTGGCGAGGCGTGAGGAGTAACTGTGTCTTAACTAAAAGGTACAGCCTGTACATCTCTCAAATTCTTTGCTGGCGGCTGAGGAATGAGTGACGATGTAATCTCTGCTGAGCCCTTGGGCTGGTACAGGGAGGGCGAAAGAGGGAGGTGGGAGGCCGGAGAGCAGGGTGGGCTGGAAGGGCAGAAGGAGCCTCTCCTCCCAGTCAGGAGTTTGAGAGATGGACCAGCAGGAAGCTAAGACTAAGCCACAAAGGCTGATGAGCTGTGAACCACCCGGGGTGAAGAAGTCAGCACCTGCAGGCTTTGCCACCATGACAAGAGCGCTGGACCGAGGGGACAGACACCCGCTTTCTTGTTCCAGTTCTGCATAGAACTGATGGCCTGGTGACCTCAGGCCAAATAATCCCCTTCTCATTCAGGCTTTCCAGTGGGACCTCAAAGGCCTGCCCAACATGGAAGTGATGCAGTTAACCACAGGGCTGGAGACAGTGTGGGTCAGCTTGCACGAGAGCAGGGTGAGAAAGTCAGCACATCCGTAATCCCAGCACTTGGGAGGGTGAGGCAGGAGGACTGTGAGTCTGAGGTCAGCCTGGGTTACATAGTGATACTGTCTCAAACACACACACACATGCACACACACACACAAAGCAAACTAACAACAAAAGAAAAAATAATGAAAAAGCAGGCTGAGCACTAGTGGCTCACACCTATAAACCTAGCTACTTGGGAGACTGATTTCAGAGGATTGAGGTTTGAGTCCAGCCTGGGCAAATAACTCTAGAGACCCCATCTCTAAAATAATCAGAGCAAAATGGACTAGAGGTGTGATTAGGGGTGTGGCTTAAGTGGTAGAACACCTGCTTTGTAAGCACAAAACCCTGAGTTCAAACCCCAGTCCCACCAAAAAACATTAAAGTTCCCCAGGCCCAGAGGACACCAGTCTCTGACCTAACTAATTCCAGTCTTTCCCTCTCTGGCTCTAATTTTATCCCTTTAGCTTTTTCCTCCTGAGTCTCTCTCTCCCCTGCAGTCACCTTGGATTCCTGAAGTCCTGGAGGCACTCATTGATAAACATCTTTATGATAAATGACAGAACTACCCTGGGCAGCAGTGAGAACTCTGGAATCCTCATAAAACCAGAGCTGAGATAAGGTGATCCAAACCCGGCCTGCCCAGGATCACCTGCTCTGTCAGCCACACAGACTCCAACTCCCTCCTCTACCTCCATTTCCTGTAAAGTCTCAAAGTTCCTATAAGCCTCTTGAGGACGGACTTAGTGTCACTGAACCCCTTTACCTGTGCCTCCTGACATAGCCACCTGAGCAAATCTCCTTCCACTGCCCATCACCACTCCCCTCTGTTTAGTTTGTGCATTAGGATGGTGCCAAGTCTAGGCTGTTAGGTCTCTTAGAGCAGGGGCTTTTGCCCTGAAACTCTGATGACAGAGTTTTTCAGAACTTTTTTTTTTTTTTGCAATCCTGAAGCTTGAATTCAGGGCCTTCACCTTGAGCCACTCCACCAGCCCTTTTTTGTGATTGGTTTTTCAAAATAGGGTCTCTCGAACTATTTGCTGGGGCTGGCTTTGAACCTTGATCCTCCTGATCTCTGCCTCCTGGATAACGAGCCATGGTGCCTGGCTTTGTAGAACTTTTGATGTAGATTATACTATTCATATTTGCTGTATTCAGAAATAAAGCAGGGGGTTTTATACACATGCTTAATAAGCCTATTACATGTTAATAGAAATAACATTTTTTTTGGTGGTACTGGGATTTGAACTCAGGACTTCACACTTGCTAGGCAGTTACTCTACCACCTGAGTCACTCCCCCCAGCCATTTCTTGCTTTAGTTACTTTTCATGTAGGGAGTTTTTGCTTGGAGCTCACAGCATGGTCCTCCTACCCATGGCCTCCACATAGCTGTGATTACAGGTGCACACTACACACTTGGCTTATTCCACTTGGCAGTGGAAGGAGACTAAGATGAGGCCTTACCTGCCCTGCACCAGTGCAGGAGGGAGAACAGTGGGGTCGGGGCGGGGCGTGTCAACTCAGTCAGTCCTCACAGCTGTCAGAAAGGGTGTTACTGTAGTCATCATCTGTTTTACAAAGAGAGATGAAGTGACTTGTCCAAGGTCAAACCAAAGGGCAGAGGCCAGGTCTGCGTTGTCTCACTGTTCTGCATTCTGGCTGTTCCCCTGGCTCCCACCAGTTTGTCCTGGGGACCTCTAGCCTCTTGGCAGGGCTTTTTTTTTTTTTTTTTTTGGTGGAACTGGAGTTTGAACTCAGGACTTCAAGCTTGTAAACCAGGTGCTCTACCATTTGAGCCATGACTCCAGTCCATTTTGCTCTGGTTATTTTGGAGATGGGGGGGTCTCATGAACTGTTTGCCCAGGCTGGCCTCAAATCTTAATCCTCCCAATCTTAGCCTCCCAGGTAGCTGGGACCACAGAAATGATCCACCGGTGCTGGGCTAGGGTCTCTGTGTGTGTGTGTGTGTGTGTGTGTGTGTGTGTGTGTGTGTGTGTGTGTGTAATGTGTGTGATATTTGGGGGTCATTGTGAAAATCATATCCTGAGTGGCTGCTCTTCTATCTACGAAGTGCTCTCAGTAGGAAAGGAAACTTGGACACCAACAAGACATCATAACCAGGAGGACAGGAGGACAGGAGGACAGGAGAAGCCTGACTAGGATGAGGTCTTTTAATGATGGCCTCTTGTTACATCAGGAGCAGGGCAGGGTTAAGCACTGAGTGTACTTTTTCACCATCTCCGGTTTCCCTCCAGGCTGCTCTGCCCCTTCCTGGTGTGGCCAGATCCCACAGGGTGGGGCCTTCCCTAGTCATGGTTCTGTTTATTTTAGGGTGGTAGCATTGATGCATGGGTACAATTCAGGCTGGTTCCCCCAACAAAGGAGGGTTGTGGGGAAGTGACATATGGAACCAGGGAAACCAGTCATGAAGCACCCTGGGGATTGTGATAAGAGTAGGGAGTAAATCAAATGAGTGCTTACTGGGCACTGCGTGCCAGGCACCATTCTGTGTTCTTTGCACAGTAACTCATATTCCACACAAGTGGCGAGGGGAATCCTATGGCCCCATCCTGTTCCTAGTTGGGGAACCTGGCACCAGCAAAGGGGCTGTCATCAGGCTAAAGACACAAAATCTGGACAGGGACACAGACACAGCTAGACAGAGGCTGATGTAGTATTTTCAATAAAGCACATTTTTTTTTTCAGTGCTGGGGTTTGAACTCAGGGCCTACCCCTTGAGCTATTCCACCAGCCCTATTTTTGTGATGGATTTTTCAACATAGGATTTCAAAGATAGGGTCTCATTAACTATTTACCCAGGCTGTCTTCAAACCTCAATCCTCCTGATCTCTGCCTCCCGAGTAGCTAGGATTACAGGAGTGAGCCACCAGCATCTGGCTTAATAAGCTCACTATTTAGAAATTTTCCTTAACATTCGTTTCAAACCTTTGAATAATATGTATGATATACAAAAGCAAATTTTGGCTTCTCTCCACTTCACAAGTGCCATATGTGTCAGGGGTAGTGTAAATTCTTTTGTGTCATTGTTTTCATTTTTGGTGGTACTGGGGTTTGAACTCAGGCCTTGTGCTTGCTACCAGGCACTCTACCACTTGAGCTACAGCTCTTTTTGCTTTAGTTTTTTTTACAGGATCTTGACTTTACGCCCTGGCCAGCCTTGACTGTGATCTTCCTGTTTCTGCATTCCATGTAGCTGGTCACCAGCTTTTTTTTTTTGGCTTAAGATCAGATCTTGCAAACTTTTTGCCTGCCCTGGCCTCAACTTGCTATCCTTCCCATCTCTGCCTCCCAGGTATTAGCCACCACCCCTGGCCTCCTTTAATGGTTGCCCAAAATTTTAAGGTGATGTTTTTATCAGGGACCAACTGTAGATTAAAGTGGACTGGAAGGGAACAAGAGGACAGAAATCTCTTTCATAACCTGAGGGCTTAATTTTTTTTTTTTTTTGCATTTGGTGCTGAAACTGTCAGTTTATATCTTTTAAAAAAGAATTTTATGTTTGTCACATGGTGAGATAAAACAGGTCCCTAACTGCCTGCACCTTTCTTCATACGCTGGGCAAGGGCTTGTTGCCTTTATGCTCAATACAGGAAAAGAAAAAAGACATGCTATTTTCTTTTTTTCCACTCCTGGAAATTTTGTGAAGTACTCTGAATCTTCCTCATATATTATATAAAAATTTTGATAAGATAAATACAACAATGAATCTTGAGGGAAATTTGCAAGGGAGTTAACATTTTCCTTTTTCTTATTTTCTTGAATTTTTAATATCAGAGCTTCTTATACTTCCTGTCTTCAGTCATTGGCTCATCAAGAATATAAATTAAAGAGGCTGGATGCAGTGGCTCAAGCCTATAACCACAGCTACTTGGAAACCAAGATCAGGAGGATTGAGGTTTGAGTCCAGCCTGGGCAAAAAGTTACCAAGACCCCATCTCGACCAATAAGCTAGATGTGGTGGTGTGCACCTGTCATCCCAGCTACAGGTAGGCACAAACAGGAGGATGAAGGTCCAGGCTGGCCTGGAACTTGCCATCCACCTGCATCAGTCTGCCATTTGCTGGAATTACAGGCGACCACACCTAGCCCAAATATATATTAAGACTGGCCAGAGAGCTGGGGCACCCGTGGCTCACACCTGTAATCTTAGCTACTCAGGAGACAAGGATCAGGAGGCTCAAGGTTCGAAGCCAGCTCCAGGCAAATAGTTCGTGAGATCCTTTCTCCAAAAAACCCATCACAAAAAAGGGTTGGTGGAGTGGCTCAAGGTGTAGACCCTGAGGTCAAGCACCAGTACTGCAAATAAATAAGTAAATAAATAAATAAATAAAATAAAAAATAAAAGACTGCTCAGGGGAGGGAGACTTGAAAAAGCTAGCAAAGCATTTTGTGCTGTGCCCTTGTTGGACCCAGCTTGATGTGACCACAGCCGTTTTGCCGGTCAGGTGACCTTGGCACCCAGCTCACATCCCACAGATAAAGTCTCTAAGACAGTGAGTGGAGCATTTTGTGCTGGTCACTGGCACCCAGTTTCTTAATTGATGATGGGCACATTACTATTTTTTGAGAAAGGTCAGGCACTTTGATATGTGCAGCTGACCACACAAACCCCTCCTACCTTGGGGTGTGGGGACCCTCCTGTCTTGCTGCCACTTAAGACATGTTTCTTTCTGAAATTTCCTAATAAATGTGCAATCCTGTGTCTGTCTTCCATCTTTCTGCATCCTCCCCCTTTGGAGGCCATTCTTCCTACATCAAACTTTATCTAAAACCAGTTTTTTTGTTTTTTGTTTTTTGTTTTTGCGGTACCTACACCTTGAGCCACTCCACCAGCCCTTTTTTGTGATGGTTGTTTTTTTGGAGATAGGGTCTCTTGAATTACTTTCCCGGGGCTGGCTTCGAATCTTGATCTTCCTGATTTCTGCCTCCTGAGCTATAATTAAGATGTGAGCCACTGGCACCTGGCCAGGTTTTTGATCTGAAACATTGCCTATTCTCAGCAGATTCCCATCTGTCTGCTTTCATGGTCACCTTATCACCCAGGACCCAAACAGAGCCACAGGGAGACACTGAGGTCAGACTCATTGATTTTTCTCATTTTTTATTTTTTGGGTTTTGGCCTGGAACTCACTATGTAGCCCAGGCTGGCCTTCAGCTTGCTTTGCCTGCTTCCACCTCCCTCATGCTGAGATTATAAGTATGTGCCACTATGCCCACGAGCTCATTGAATGTGTGTGTGTTTGAGACAGGATCTTACTATGTAGTGCAACTCGAGATCCTTCACATGCTGGGATTATGCACTTGTACTACCACACCCACCTTATTGGTTGAGATGGAGTCTTGCTCACTTTTTTCCTGGGCTAGCATCTAACCTCCATTTTCCTGATCTCTGCCTCCTGAGTAGCTGGGAATGCAGGCGTGCACCACCATGCCTGGCCACTCACTGAATTTTGAGAGTGGCAACACCATGAAAGCAGCTGTGGTTCTCAAAGAGGAACTGTGGGGTGGCCACAACCCCTTGGGGGACAGGGGAGCTACCTAGAGAAGGGCAGCAGGAGTTTTAATGGGAGGGGTCACCTCTGGTTCACCGTGCAGTAGAAGATCCGAGGCCTCCCCTCTGGGCAGTGGAAGAAAGTTGGGGAGAGGAGGAAAAGCCAAAAAGCTCACAGAAGCCCATCCTATGAAGCCAGTCCTAGGCACATCTAACCAACACCTTCCTGTTTGCCTGGGGTCCCAGCAGCCTTCTCTTCCCTTGGCTCTGCTGCCACCACAGTCTTCTCCCCTCTGATCTATCCGTCCACCTGTCCTGTCTGTCATTTTCTTTCTTTGGCATTTGGCATCTTTACTGTGTGAGGTGGGGGCATGCTTTGTGGGTCCTTTCTCTCCCCAGGAAACAAGGAAAAGGGAGCAGTTTTATCTCTTTTTGGAAGATTGCTGGGACCCCATCTTTTTTCTTTTTCTTTTTCTTTCTTTCTTTCTTTCTTTCTTTCTTTCTTTCTTTCTTTCTTTCTTTCTTTCTTTCTTCTTCTCTCTCTCTTGCTTTCTTTTTTGTGGTATTGAAGCTGAATTCAGGGTCTACCCCTTGAGCCACTCCATCAGTCCTTTTTTGTGGTGGGTTTTTTGAGATAGAGTCTTGAGGACTATTTGCCCTGACTGGCTTTGAACTGAGGTCCTCCTGACCTCTGTCTCCTGAGTAGCTGGGATTACAGGTGTAAACCATTGGTGCCTGGCTTGGAACTCCATCATGGAAGGGCCACTCCCGGGGTCATCCACCAGCAGAGGTGGGGGCTGCATGCCCTGGCTGTGCCAGGGACCCACTGTTTTCTAGCTCTTTGGCCTTGGTAAGGTGGTCATTCCCTAGACCTCAGCTTCCTCATTCCTAACTTGAGATGGAAAGAAATGCCTTTGAAGGATCAGGGTGACAATGGAAAAAGATAGGTGACAGCCCCAAGCACAGGGAGGGAAGGTTGACAGATAATTGTGGAAACAAGGATTCCCTGGAGGCCAGAGGTTGGAACCTCAGACACAGAAAATGACTGGATTGTTTGTTAGGGTAGCCAAAGCCAGCCACGCCCCTCACAAAGGCTCTCAGGTATGAGGCACTCTGCAAGTGCCACAGTAAAGACACCAGTGGTGACAATTCCTTGAGCCTAAATTGCACCTCAGCACCCATGAGGTGCTTTCTGCACCTGCTCACCTGCTGTTCCATCCCACGGCAGGGTCTGCTTCCAGCCCATCTGGATGTGAGCTTGACTTTGCTGCTTGCCTGAACTTGGATGAGGTTCAAGCTTGTGTGAGCTTCAGTTTCTCACCTGACAAGCGTGGGTGGTGAGAGGTTGCTGTGAATGTTGACAGGGGAGGTCACACAGCACTGCGTGTGGCAAATGCTCTGTCACTGGTAAAAGGAAAAAGCAAGCCCCTTTTGAGGCAGGTTGGGAATGGGATTATAGCCTCATTTGTAGGACTGAGGTTCAGGAAGTGGGATGACTGGCTCAAGATAACCTGTCTAATTGGGGAGGGAGACATGGGTCTTCCGTGTGAGTCAGTGTTGGTAAGTCCTGGGGCCCCAAGAGCTGCACCCCACTCATGCTGGCTCCACTCTTCCTTGCTCATGTGACACTGTGCAGTCCCCGCTGCTGAGGCCTGGTCTTCCTATCTACAAGATAGGGCCACCTATTTCCCTTCAGGGAACCCTCATGTCTCCCACCTCCACCTTAGGGACTTTTTGAAGGGGTTGGGGTGAAAGCAGAAGCTACTTGAAAATAACCCTTCTTCCTGTCCTTGGTGAGAATCTGTGCCAAGCTGGTGGTGCCAGGTGGGCAAAGAGCAGGGGGGGACTGGAGAGCCTTTGCCATCAAAGTCAATGAAAGAGGAGAGATTGGCCCAAGACTGGAGAGTGATCATGTCTACGGCCATGTGTTGGGGACCTGGGCTCTGCTCCCTGGGGAAGGGGGAAGAACTTCCAGGGGAAGTTGCTGAGTGGCACACGCTGAAGGTTGCACACAAAGCTCTGTGCTGTGTCTTGGCAAAGAATCTGGGAACCCAGGCAAGCCAGAGAGTGACAATCTGGCATCAAGCACTTAGGTGAGTGGGTGCCCATTGTAAGACGGACCAGGTGTCCCTCCCTCACTCTTAAACTCTGGTGTCACTCCAAGGGTCAATGCCGTATGTTGGGAGAAGGGATAGCAGGGAGGGAAGCTGAGACTCAGTTTCCCACTGGCCCTGTAGGATGAGGGCTTAGGGTTATGCCCATAGACGGCTTGCAGTGAGAGCAAGGGACACAAGCAGATGAGAGGAAGGGGAAAGACTGTCGCTGGAGAGCTCTGCTGGGCTGAGCCAGGCTGCCATTCGCCCGCCTTAACTGGCTAAAGGGTAAGGAATGGCACTGCTGGTGGAGATCCATATTGGGGTGCTGGGGCCCGGGGGCAGGGTGAGGTTTAGGGAGCTTCCTTCCTGGAGCCGCACAGTGGTTACAGAGCTGGGGCTGGGGCTGCCTCCCTGGAACTCTCTGAATCCTCCCTGGTCCTCTTCTGCCTCCATCCTGACCTGGGCCCCAAGGTCTCTCTACTAGCCACCCATTTTAGGGACAGCCAGCAGTGCTTCACTTTCATCTCTAATCCACAGCAATGGCAGATGGGGTGAAGGTCAAGGGTTCCACCACAGTTATTCACAGAGTCCAGCACAGGTACCCATCCCCTGTCAGCATCACCTAACTGGGACCCACAAGCCTGAGAGTGATGTTCTCACCCTGTGTTGCTCAGAAGAGGGAGGCCATAGGGAGAGAAGTGGGGTGATTTGCCAGAAGCTGCAGTTACCAGGGATGGCAGAGTTAGGCAGGATTCGACCTGGGCCCTGACCTGGGGCACACACATGGCATAACATGAAAAATCACTTTTCCAAAGTGGAACCTCTATGGAAGCGGAAGTGGAGACTGAGCTGCTGGGTCCAGTATGCATCTGACCTCTCTCTGGCCGCCTCATCCAGGCAAGCTGTATTTTGTTGTGCCTCACTTTTTCCTGCAAAATGGGGGCACAGACTCCTGAGGTGATCCCCAAGACCTCTGCCAGCCCTGGCCTTTTGAGGTCCTTTCTTGGCCTACCATCTGCTACTTCAGAAGGCAGGACAGGCTGATGGCTAAAGGGTGGACTGTGAAGCCAGAGTGCCTAGGCTCAGGCCAACGCTCTCAGTGACATCCCAGGAACTTCAGGTAAGTCACAGTCCCGCCTCTATTAAGTGGGCATGGAATATGAGTTGTAAGGATTAATTAAGCCACGATAGGTGTTAGAGCTGTGCCTGGCACACACTGTGTGTGGTTTTTTATCGCTATGATGAAATGAAAGGCACATCCAGACGTTTGGTCCTGTCTCAGGAGGAGCACCCCCCAGCCCTGAGCATCCCCAGGACTCCCACCCCCACCACCACAGGAAGCATCTTCCTGTAATGTCCATCCCCTGCTCACCACAGGCTCACCCAGCTTCTTAGGTACCTGGAGGGCAGGAATAAAGTAAGAATGCAGGTTTTCTGAAATGAGGAAGAAGATTAAACTAACATAAGAAAAATGCTACTCACGGTTGTTTGTCAGTGGCCTGCCCCAGACAGGGTCTTGTCCCAGCTGTTTTGTGTCCACTCCCAAGATCCGGCCTGGGTCCTGCTCGGAAGTCCTGCGGAACCGCGGCCCCAGCCAGCTTTCTCTTGCTTTTATACTTTCTCACAGATGAGTGAGTGTGAGGTCTGGCCTTCCGTCCCTGTCACCACTTCCCCTCTGGGTCCCTGGTGCCACAGTGATTGTACCCTTTGGTTGAGTTCTTTCTCACCAGGAACTCTGAACAGGGTGGGGCATGGGTTGAGGCTCCTGAACTCAAGGGACTTGGGTTCTAATCCAGCTAGATGTTATGATGTTGAACAATTCATATAACCTCTCTAAAGCTTAGTTTCTTTTTTCTTTCTTTCGTTTTTTTTTTTGGTGGTGCTGGGGTTTGAACCCAAGACCTTGCACTTGCTAGGCAGGTGCTCTACCACTGCAGCCAGGCCCCCAGCCCACGCTTAGTTTCATCTTACAAAATGAGGACCATGCCCCAGCCTTTCATATATCATCTAAAAGGACATTCTTTCCACTCCAGCACCTCCTTCCCTAGGCAAGTGCCCACAGGTTCCAGGCAGATGACAGTGAGTGCCGGGGCCTGGTGTGGGGCCATAGGGAATGGTTGGGACTGTGGGGAATAGGGACCCAGCTGCAGGACCAGCCAAAGAGCGTGGGCAGGCACCTGTCAGCTCCAGCCAAGCGGTCCCTGTTGGAAGATGTGCTGCATTGTCCAAGAGATACTGACTCCTCTCTTTTATGTGATACCTTCTAATTTTAGAATGTAGGGCACAAAGTCAAACCTTACAAAAGTGCTATGCGAGAGCCAGGCATGGTGGTGCCCTGCCTGCAATTCTAGGAGGAATTGAGAGATCGAGGCAGGAGGAGATGATGGGTTTGAGGCCAGTCTGGGTTACATAGTGAGACTGTCTCAACAACAAACAAAAATAACAACAACAAAAATGCTATGGGAGAAAGGACTGGAAAGGCAGCTCAGTGGTTGAGCTAGCTTGCATGAGGCCCTGGGTTCTATTTTCAGCACCAAAAACCAAAACCAAAACCAAAAATCAATAACAGTGGATCAAAGACCTTAATATAAGGCCTAAAACTTTGAAACTACTTCAGGAAAGAACAGGGGATACACTGGAACACATAGACAAAGGCAATGACTTCCTAACTGGCTCCAATGGCTCAGCCGATTATGAGGAAGGACTGACAAATGGGACTGCATGCAACTAAAAACCTGCAAAGGAAAGGAAACAGCCACCAGGCCATTACTGAATGGGAGAAAATCTTTGCTAGCTATTCATCTAACAAGGGACTAATACCCAGAATCTACAGGGAGCTAAAAAAAACTGTCAGGCTGGCAGAGTGGCTCAAGTGGTAGAGTGGCCGTCTAGCAAGTGTAAGGCCCCAAGTTCAAACCCCAGTGCTACAAAAACAAACAAATAAAAAAAACCCCAGTGTACTCCCGAAGGGTCAACAACCTAATGTAGAAATGGGTACATGAATTGAGTAGGCAATTTCAAAGGAAGAGGTGCAAACAGCCAATAAATATATGAAGAAGTGTTCAGCTTCCTTGGCCGTAAAAGAAATGCAAATAAAACTGGATGCCGGAGGCTCACGCCTGTAATCCTAGCTACTCAGGAGGCAGAGGTCAGAGGATTGAGGTTCTAAGCCAGCCTGGGCAAATACTTTGGGAGACCCCATCTTGAAAAATCCATCATAAAAAAGGGCTGGTGAAGTGGCTCAAAGTGTAGGCCCTGAGTTCAAACCTTCAAGCCCCAGTACTGAAAAAAAAAATGCAAATCAAAACATCTTCAAGAAACACAAACAACAAATGCTAGCAAGGATGTGTCAAAACAGGAACCCTTATGTGCTGTTGGTGGGAATGCAAATTAGTGCAACCATTATGGAAAGCAGTATGGAGAGTTCTTAAAAAACTAAAAATCAAACTGCCACACAATCCAGTCATACCTCTCCTGGGCACATACCCGAAGGAATATAAGTCAGGATACAACAGAGATGCTTGCATACCCATGTTTATTCCAGCACTATTTACAGTAGCCAAGCTATGAAAACAGCCCAGATGCCCTACACTTGATGAATGGATTAAGAAAATGTGGTAGGGAGGAGAGAAAGGGGAAAAAAAAAAAAGAAATTGTGGTATAGATACACAATGGAGTACTACTCAGCCATAAAGAAGAATGAAATTATGTTGTTTGCAGATAAATGGATGGAATTGGAAGACATCATGTTAAGTGAACCAAGCCAGGTTTAGAAAGACAAAAGCTGCATGCTTTATCTCATATGTGGAAAATAGATCTAAAAGATAATAAACATATCCTCAAAAACATAATTAGCTGGGTGCCAGTGACTCATGCCTGTAATCATAACTATTCAGGAAGCTGAAATCAAGAGGGTCATGATTTGAAGGAGTCCCAGGCATAGTTTGAGAGATCTTAGCTCAAAAAAACTCATCACAGAAAGGGGCTGATGGAGTTGCTCAAGGTGTAGGCCCTGAGTTCAAACCCCAGTACTGCAAAACAAAAAGAAACCATTATTATATATGCATTTATATATAGAACAAGTTTGCAACAGTGGGACTGTTCCATGGAACTCGGGGGAGAGGGAAAGGAAAAGGGAGTGATAGTCAGCAACATCAAAGTACCTTTCTCTGTGCAGGTAGAGGACATAGTGATATGCACTGAAAGTTGTCAGCTACATCAAGAAACCTCTTTGAATATTGACTTTGGAACTTAAAATGAAGGATGTGTCTGTAAAATAGGTACCGTGTGGGGGTATTTGTGGGAAGTGGGGTGAATGTAGGGGATAAAAGGAAGGTGAATCTGGTCAAGGTACTTTATATACATATATGAACTAGAACAATGAAACCTTTTGAATCATTTTAAGTTAAGAGGAGGGGGATGAGGGAGAGCTGGTGGGGGTGAACCTACCCAATGCACAATGTAAGCAAATTCAGAAATGTCACAATGACTCCTCCCTGTACAACTAACATATGCTAATAAAAATGCTTTGAGGAAGAAATCAACATCATTTTCAGTTTACGTTTGTTAGGAAGTGTATTTCTAATATACAGTCCTGGCAAATACTCAGATAGTGGTCCTGCTATAGTTCAAAGTCTCCTCACACCACTACCCCATAACACACTTACTGAGCACCTCTCAGGTCCTACCGTATGATAGGATCTTGCCTCCTGGTCTGGCTTACAATTACCACACAGATCGTCTCATTATGGAGGGATAGCTTTGGGCCAGGCCTTCTCTAGGAAGGAGATTTTGCCCCCAAGGTAGAGCTGCCAAATTCTGCAAGTAAAAGTATTTAAGACATACACATTCTAAAATGTTATTTGGGGTTGGAGGTGTGACTCAGTGGTAGAGCACTTGCCTAGCAGAGCAAGGCCCTGGGTTCCATTCTCAGCACTGCAAAAAGGGAAAAAGTTATTTGTTGTTTGTCTGAAATAGAAAGTTGCCTAGGTATTTTATATTTTATCTGGCAACCCTATCCAGAGGTCCATGGATGGCTGGAGACATTTTTGGTGGCCACAGCCTGGAAAGGGGGTTTTACTGACATCTGGAGGACAGAGGGTGAGAATGATGTTAAACATCCTACAGTTTGCAGGAGCCACTGCAACGGGGAATTGTCCAGCTCACAATATTAATAAGCCGAGACTAAGAAAACTTGGTCTAAACCCCACTGGCCCTTCTGTGCAAACCCAATTTAATTTGATAATGAGACCCTTTGGGAGAGGCCAAGGTGACAGCCTCAGCTCTTGCACCTCTCCCAAGAGCAAGGAATTGACAGTGAGGAATGGGACAGGGAGCCAGTGGAGCCAAGAAAGAGAACAAAGAAGACCAGAGTTGGGGAGGGGCTCCATGCAGCCCCTCTGTCCAATTTCTGTAGAAGTCACAGAAGCTTTGCAACTGGAGGCATCGGGGTGAACTGGACCAGATCTATACCTAGATGCTTCCAAAATCTTGAATTCTAGACCACTGACCTTCAGGAAGGACCACTATGGTGAAGCAGGGTGACCTGTTCCCCACTGCAGCCCAGGGTGTGCCGGTGGCTGGATGCATGCGTGAGTGAGGGAATGAATGGAGGAAGAGAGTGAGGAGGCTATTCAAGATAGCCTGAATACCAGAAATCTGAATTGATCTTGTGCCACAGTCACTTCTTTTGTCTTCTGGTGACAATTTCTGCATTTCTAGAATGAGGAAGTTGAAGATATGAGGTGCTTCTAAAACGTGCCCCCCCAACACACACCCACACACACACGTCAATCACCCAGAGGGTTTGCATTACATGATTGCTGTCCCCACGCCCAGATTCCGATTCAGCGTCCTCAGGTCCGAGCATCTGCACCTCTCGCAAGCTCCCGGGTGAGGCTGGTGCCGCGGGTCCTTGGGTGCACCTCGGTGGGAGGGGCTGATGGTTGATGAGAGTGTTCAAGGACCTGCAAGTCCCCAGGGTCCACTGGCAGAGCTTACGGGGCCCACACAGGAAGTGTGTCCCCTTGCTCCCCGTGGCCCATTTGCAGGTGAGGTTATGGGAGCTGGTACCTCGGTCACAGTCAGCCTCGCGCGCTGGCACTGTGAGACACTGCCATCTGTTGGAGGACTTGGCGCCGTGCAGCCGTGTTTAGGTTAAGACTGGGGGCTGACAGGGTTTCACGAGGCTATTGCTATATTTTGCCTTTAAAAACCTACAGTACAGGGCTGGTGGTGCGGCTCAAGTGGTAGAGCACCTGTATCAAGCATGTACCATCAAAAAAAAAAAAAAAAAGAAAGAAAGAAAGAAAGAAAAACTGCAGTACAGCTGGGTGCTGGTGACTCAGAGCCTTGCACCTGCTAGGCAGGGACTCTACCAGTGCCTTTTTGCTTTAATTATTTTTCAGGTCTTATGATTTTGCCTGGGTGTAGCTGGGACTACAGGAGTGAGGGCCCAGCTCATGCTACCATTTTTTAAATTATATTTTTGAATTAGCATACATTAATAATACAAGGGTGTTTTTGTGATAATTCCCTCCATAAGGTGTACTTTGAGCAAGCTCACACCTTCCATTCTTTTCCCATGCCCCCCCTCACACTACTGTTTTATAGAGTCTGAGCCTTAGATTCTTCTCCCATGATATCAGCACTCTGACTTTCTGCGTGGGGCTGCATCAGGTGTGACCCTGCCCTTGACATGCCTGCTATACAGTTGGAAAGGTAAAGCATGGGCTGAACTGTCTCATGACGTCATTCAACTCTTGTCTCAGAAACTGGCTCTTTGTTGCATATCAATAGTTGGTAAATGTCTAATAAATAAATAAAAGG